ATTATGGTATTGCGATTAGGTATGCGCTAATAATCTCCAGCATACGGTTAATAAGCTTAAGGCTATTATCGCCGCCCTGCTATCGAAGTGTATGCTTACTTCTATGAAGTCAGTTTTAAATCGTTTACTACCTTAATTGCTAAAAGTTATGTTAGAGAAAGAAGGTTGAAAGCCTAAAATTTTTTCATCCTAGAATCTACTCGGCGTTTTGCCTAGAATTAAAATAACCTATCGGTACGCAGAGGTTACAGTTTTAATTAAGTCTTCCTGTGCTTCTTTTAAAGTGGTGGATTTTGATTTACTATTTTTTCTAACTATCTCAGTATCAATCTTCATTCTACCGCTTTTTATTTTGAGGTTTATCGTCAGAGGGCAGGTAGGTAGTCTTGATTTCTATTTTCAGGAAAACTATCGAATTCTTCATATATATACTAGAACTGTTAGGATGCTAACAATAAGGCAAGGAGAATAATTGGTTTAGAAAATAGTTCTTCACCATTTACCATGAATTCACATACATGCAATACAACACGGTACACGCTTTTCTGAACGGGATTACTTTGTATATAGAATTTTCACCTATATACCATATATAAACGACAGGTGAAGTTTTCGGCTAAAATCGCAAAGTAATTGTAGAAGTCCTTACGTAATTTTTATAATATCTCAATCTATCCGAAAGCATCAAAATCATTAGTAAGATGCTTAAAAGGCTTTCTTTCGAGCATATGAGAGTAAGGAAATCTAAGGAACTACTCGCAAAAGCTGCCAGGATGATGTTAAAGAAGGGCTGAGCGACTTTTATAATCGCTTGGTATTATATTTCTATTTGTTGCTACATTATTTTTTATACTAGCTGTTTCTTCGATTCGCCACTCTAGAAAACTTGAAAACAAGACATTGAACTACGTCCTCTTTTGATAAAGAATGTGTTGTAGATGTAAAAAATATATAATTTTTCCTTTGAATGTTTCCTCTTCATAAATAATGTCCGTGTCTGTTCAAACCACAAAGATGAAAGATATATTGTTTCGAGTATTTCGCTGGAGTCTGAGATATCGTTTAATCGTCTAAATTTTAAGCTCTCAGACACTATAATTTCACTCCTCTTGTAACTACGCTAAAGCTGAAACCCCAAATAGTGTAGCCCCCTTAACTGTACTGCCAAGTATATTTTCGCTTTAATAAAAACCCACTTCACCCGGCAGACAATGTGTGTATAAATTCCCAATGATTTACTATCGCCAAGTTTTTCCTCCTGTTGCTATGATTGTGTTTCTTAGATGAGACCTTCAAGCATTCAACAAATGCTTTTCCACCCTTCGCCATTTGTGTCGGCAATGTTTGCTGGCATTTAACTAGCTGTCGAGCAAGGTTGCGCGGCGACCAGGAGGGAGTTAAATAAGCAAAGCATTGAAAGAGGGTTAGTTGTATGTTTCAATGAAAATTCACATACACAAGGACTTTCAGCGTGGTGTCTCAGCTTCAGCTTCGCTTCTGCCTTCAAACTTCCCCTTGTGGCCTTCGACTATTAGATTGGCTTTTGCCTTGTTAGAAAATCATAAGAAATCCTTGAATTGTCAATTCGCCATAAGGGTATGTTTCAGTGAATTTATATTTTGTCTCTTCCACTGTTGCTTCTTCTTCCTCCACTGCTTGTTTTGATTTATCTATGTTTTTGAGTTGTATTATTACTTCTTTTCCTGTTGTTGGCATTCATTTAGTGTTCCCTGCTCGTTATTACTCTACGACTTCGTAAAGCACGAGAAAAGCAAGGACTTGTTGTACTCCATCGACCAGTTATTCTGCGGAAAGTGCTCGCTGTGTGTTAAGCACAAGGCGAGGGGGAGACGCACGCGCTCACCGAAGCAGCGTACAACCTGAAAGTCCTGAAGCAAAGTGGTGGTTGCATTTCCTCGCTAACTGGCAATGCTTGTTGGCGAAGTTTTTAGCTTCCTGAGCATTGCTGCCTTCAGCGCTGACACAGTTTTCCAGTGCAATCCAACGGAGTCGGATGTTTACGTTTTTGTTGTGTCCTCGCGTAGTGTGCGGTTGTTTTGCTTCGTTGATAGGGACTTGCGTCGCGTAATCATTACGTTTAGTAGTAGTTGTACTTGCCGATTGCCGTTAGTTTTTATGGTACCTGATTGGTTTAGGTGCTTTTGTCCACAGCCGGTTTGGAGGGAACTTGTTTCGGCCACTTAAGTTCTACGAACGTCTTTGTTTACTTGTTGACTTGTTATTATTCGTCAATTCTATTGGAGCAAGTTTGTTATTCTTTGTTGGACTAGTTTTTATGAAGCAGTTCTTGGTGTTAGTGACTCAGTTTATAAGTCGGTGAGTCGACGGAGCTAAAATGTAAATATTTTTGGAAGTACAAAAAAATTATTTACGATTTAAAATTTTAATAATTATAAAATAAATTTAATTAAATTTATATCAGTAAGTTACATATTATATAATATATTGGAAAAGTTGGTTTAAACAGTTTTTTTTAATTTACTTTAGTTGAAAAAAATTAGTTTAACTTTTCCTGAGAAGTTCTAAACAAATTTAATCTTTGTTTCCATTGAATTTAAAATTACTTAACTATCAAAATTAAATTAAAGTAAATAAAAAAAATTATTTAGTTTAATATTAAATTTCATATGTAATTGACAAAATTAATTACCTAAATTGAAATAAATTAGAAAACAACATAAATTTAAAAAAAAAACAAATTTAAATTAATACAAAATTACTAAATTAACAAAATTAATCACCTAACTTAAATTTAATAAGAAAAGTAAATAAACTTCATTAACAAACTTAAGTATCGAAATTGACTTAAAACGAAAATTAGTTGGTTTAATATAAAACTACTTATGTAATTAACGAAATTAATTACCTAAATTAAAATAAATTTGAAAAGTAAATAAATGCTTTAAAAAATTTAAATTTAATATAAAATTACTGAATTAACCTAATTAATTACCAAAATTAAATTAGAAAACTACATAAATGTTTAAAAAAATTTATGAATGAATATAAAATTAATTAGCTAAATTAAATTAAAAAACAAATAAATGTTTATAAAATTACATAATTAACTAAAATAATTACCTCAATTAAATTAAATTAGAAAACTAAATAAATGTTTTAAAAATCTTATTAAATTATGTCAATAAATTCAAATAAATTATGTCAATAAATAAATAAAACACAATATAAATGCATTTTTTGGTAAAATGTATATACATTTATTATTTATGTCTTAACAAACATTTTTTAATTAAGTAAAATTTAATTAATTAATTACATTAATTTATTAATTATAAACATTTTTGAAGATAAATTAAATGTCATGGGTTCCTAATCAACTAAATTTAAATAAATTAATTCATAAATTGAGAAATTAAGTTAATTAAGCTAAAGCATATTATATTTTTTTTTGTAAAATATATGTTTAAATATTATAATTATTAATATAATTAATTATACCTATATATATATATAAGTGAGTGTATTTTGACTGTATATAACGTTCCACAATCCAATACATACCCACTGGATTAGGGCAATCAACCCCCAAAACTCTTGTGCTTCATATTTTCCGCCTCCCACCCACACATACACACGTCATCAGAGTCTTTGTTTAGGTTACATATATACATACATATAAGTTTATTGTTATATTTGATTATACTATATATATTTTAATTCTTCGAATCTACACCCACACATATGCTTTTGTAGTATGTATGCAAATAAGTACATATGCATCGTTGCGTGTGAAATAATTTAATTTTATATTCCATATGGTAATTTCCTTTCTTTTTTTCCTCAGTATATTGTTAGCCCGTTGTTTGCCGATTTTTTCTTTTTTTTCTTTTGCTTACTTCTTAGAAGTGACATTTGCATTTCAAAACGGCTTCTTTCATGCATTTCCGCATTTACCATCTGCGAATGGCCCAAGTGTGATGATTCATCTATTTACTAGTTAGTTAGCTGACTTGTTGTTGTCTTTGCATATTCTTTACTAATATATGTATGTGCATATATTATGCTTTCGTTCAAAATATAGCTTTTGTTTTAACATTTTTGTTATTTTTACCTATAATAAATTTTACGTTAGTTTTATTAAAAGAGCAAAACTGTGCATAGAAAAAGTCACCATAAAAATTAAATAAAACAAAATTTTTAATTAAATTAAATTTTGTATTGCTTGCTTCGTTAAAGTGTATGTTTTGTTATACCCTGAACAGGGTATATTAAATTTTCCACGAAGTTTGTTGTTGTATTGTTATGTTTAATCTTACTATAACTTATTTCTTAATTTTTTTATACTTGATTATTAATATATATAGGCTATTCGCCAATGAAAAGATTATTGGAAACTCCAATTTTTTTTATCATTCTTCCATTTTTTAAATTTAATTTTCAATATGATATTTTTTAATAACAATTTGGTTTGAAAAAGATAATTATCAGCGAAAATAATTAATTTTTTATTTAATTTTTTTTTGCAAACCAGTCAAACATTTTTCGAACTAATACTACTATTCCAAAATACTGAAAACCCTACATAGTTAATTCTTACTTTTAAGTGCCAATGTATACATCTTTGCATGATTCAGTATTGTTACTACTTGAAGCCTTTGTTCAATTTCTTTCATAATTATAACTATTTAGCAGTTTAAAATAAAAATTAAAGACATAACTTTCAATGAGATCATAAACATTGTCTATGTATGTATGTACTTTTATGTGGGCGGGTACGAGTGTATGTAAAGCATTTGCAAACAACACAAAGCGATTCAATTGCACTTTGGACTTGGCAAGAAACACATCACAATTTACCTAGCAAATTTGTGTTAGTAAATGCATTTATTTCTAAATATGTATGTATATAGTAAGATATATGTGAAATTATATATTAAATATATATATGTGTGTATGAAAGCATTTATTTTCTGTATGAATTTTCTAAAAACAACAATTTCTTTCTCTTATATTTGCAGCAACAAAGTGAAGCCAGTATAAACGCAGGCGGCGTAAAATTTTTAGTTAAGGTAAGATTTGAAAAAATATTATTTTAGGCATTCCTGTAAAATATCTACTTTGATTTTTTTAAATTTTATTTCTTGTTTTAAATTTTTATTTTTTCTTTCCCGTTTAAATTGTTTTCATCTTTCTATATTTTTTAAATGTATATGTAATTTTTTTTTACTTTTTCTTCCCTTTTTAAATTCAATTTTACTTTTTTTTATATTAAAAATAAATAAATACTTGTTTCAATCTTTTTGTATTTTTAAATTTATTTTTTAAATATTTATTTAATTTTTTTTTTTAATTTTTCTTTCCTATTTTAATTAATTTTTAATTTTTTTTATATTAAAAATAATTAAATACATGTTTGGATATTTTTATATTTATTAATTTTTTTTTTAATATTTATTTTTATTATTAAATATTGTTTTTACTTTTTCTTCCTTTTTTAAGTTCAATTTAATTTTTTTTTATATTAAAAATTAATAAATACTTATTTTAATCTTTTTGTATTTTTTAATTTATTTTTTATCATTTATATAATATTTTTTTACTTTTTCTTTCCTTTTTAAATTCAATGTTATTATATTTTTGTACTAAAATAAACAAATGTACTTAAATAAAAACTTTCCTAGCGCTCACCCACACAGCTTGATAATCAACCAAAGTAGCTTAGATCAGCGTTAAGTAAAAAATAAACACAAACAAATTCGCCCACTCCGCCAATAATCCATTTGCAGTTCTGCGTCAACACTTTGTGTAAACTAACTGTTACCGTGCGGCTTTTGTTGGCTTTTGTTTACAAAATACAGTCTCGCAGCCACTTTTTCGCATGAAATTCCACAAGTTTTCCAATTTTTTCTTAGCTTGCTGCTCTTTGCTCTAAAAAGGTGTAAAAATTGCCAAAATATTTGCAATAAAAATGTGTGTATATATTGCTGCGTACACATATAAAAACATTTGCACATACTTAAGTTTGTATTTATTTATTTATTTTTTTATTAATTTTTAAGTGCAAACTTTTTTTGCAATAAAAAACATTTATGACTGCAAAATGCCATTCAACTTGAAAATCGCCTTCATTAACAAAAACAAACACAAACAAAATGAACAATTGCACTTTATTGTGCCGTCTGTGAGCGGCAGACAGTCAAGTCGCACACCCCTCACGGCGGCGTGGACAGCGAGTTGCCAGCTTTTCTGAGTCGCCGTGTAAAATGCATATACGCACACTTATACACCTGCATATATTTATATTTCTGTATATAATAATGCCTGTGTGTGCTGTGATTTACCGCTGCTCCCGCTAGTTATTACAAATTACGGTAATTTGTTTACGTTTGTTTACTTTTCATTGCTTTTGCTTAAGCATTTATTTGCTTTTGCTTATTATTTTTAAAGAGTTGTCATCTCATGCAATGCTATGCCATGTCGTGCTCTGTGCTTTTTCCCGCACTCATTTCGCATGCATATAATTTTAATTGCCTGCGATCCGTTATTATTATTAGAAGCTGCCGGAAAGCATTTGCATTTTTTGCAGCTTCGTGAATTTATGCAATTCTGTAATGTGCGGTAATCGCTAAGTTAATTTCTCATAAACATTGTTTTCTAATTACCGCTAGAAATATTTTAATGACTTTTGGAGGATGCTAAGTTAATTGTGCTATAGTCGTACTTAAAGTGTGATTTTTTTGAGTTTTAGAACTTAAGAAAAAGAAAATTAAAAAATAATTGTTAAATAAATAAAATAAAACCCAATTTTTTACATTGTTATTATATTTTTTTACACATTTCTATTTTTGTTATATTTTGCTCAGATATATTTCGTAAAATTTTTGCTTTTCATTGCTTATATTATTAATTTTTTTCAATTTCTACATTTTTAAATTATTATTTTTTAATATTTTCTTTTGTATATTTTTTCCTTTATAAATATTGAAATTTTTTTCAACGTCCGTTACGTGAACTCATTCTTTGTTTAAAAATACTGAAAAATGGTTTTTCAATCGATGGCATTTCATCGAAATTATTTCAAGGCAATAATTTTCAAGTGTAATTTTTTTGGTTTTTTGTTTCGCAAGCTTTTATTTAATTGTTGCATGGTTAGCAATCATATTAGCCACATGTGGGCATGCAGAAAATATTATTTTTGGCAACAAAAAGTACATATTCTTTATATATTATTTTTTGCCACAAAAGAATTTTTAAAAATATACTGCCTACATACAGATTCTTAAGATTTCGGTTAAAAACAATAACACAACTTAGCAATAAATACAAAATTTGGTTATATTATACTTTTTTAATATTATTTGTTTACAATATTATTTTAAAAAATTATAATTTTCAATTTTTTTGCACTATAATTTTGTAACTTTTATTATATTTTTGCTTTAATTGATTATATCTTTATTTTTCATATTAATTTATTATTTTTATGTATTATTTTATTTTTGTAATTTCAGCAAAGCTCTGATTTATCTTATTATTTTTATACGTTTTTTTAAATTTTTTTTTTTTTTTATACAATATTTGATATGTTTTAAAAGTAAAAACTTTTACAAAATAAGTAAAATTTTTACAAATTTATTTTTGATAGTTTTATTTTCTTTACTTTTAATAAACTTGTATTTATTCAAAAAATATAATTAATATAAATATGTATGTATGTATATACATATATTTTTCAAGTAAACAATTTCGAATTTTGAACAGCATTGTCCTCTTTTTCTACAAATAATGAAAAATAAATTTTCGTTACTTATTACTTCAAACGCCATCAAATCGCTTGCGAAACAACACACCTGCTCTTATAAAGTTAACATTTTTTTATGATTTAGTTGCGCATACGCCCCCGACAACGATTAGGAAATTTCTACATATTCTTATGACTGTCAGCAATGTAATTGACTTTGACACAAAATATTATACCCAATTGTAAACAAGAAAAGATTTTGTTTTATCACGACACCTACACGCCCTGTTTTACCGTTATCCTTAATGTTTCATTTTCTTTTCTATTCCATTGACTGCTCGGATGTGTTTGAGTACTAGCTAGCGTGCGTAGGTGTCAAATTTTACATAATACAACAAGAACAGCAATGTATAACAGTTATATTAATAAAATGTATGTATGTATTTTTCACGAATGTAAACAAATCGATATCGCCAGTCAAAATAGACGCGAATACATTTTTTTCTCATAACCACCGAAAATCTTTCTATGCTCACTCTGCTTTAAAAAAATGTTACGACGCAAAATAAATGATAAAAATAAATAAAATAATTGCAAAATATCGCTACGAAAACTTCCACAGGATGCCTACATAATCCTGTTGCGTTCGGCGTTACTCTGCTCGCCACTCTGCTAATCCTCTTGTTTTACATATAATATTTGTGTGTATGTGTCTTTTATGTTTTCGCCGTCTTTCGCATTACTTTCAACACCCTTAATTTTTATTTGCTCACGTAAATACATACATGCAAATACATACCATATACATTCAAAAAATTTATATATACATATGTACTTATATAAAATGCGATGTATTTGTTTACAAACTTTGTATATAGACATCTACGCATGTCCTTGTCAGTGGTTATACTGAAGGTTACTACGTTTATATACAGATATATACTCACACATATGCATATATACATACATTCAACGACTTTATTGCTGCTATTTTTATTACAAATGTATAGCATATATTAGTACATATGTATATAAATCTTATATCGTATGTGTATCTAATAACTTTATATAAATTTCAAATATATACAAAATAATTATTTTACAGCTTCGTGTTGTTGTTGCTGCTGCTATCTACCTGTTATTCTGTTTATATTCTTCATTTTCGCAACAAGCTGCACGAATTTCTGTATTTACCCTGTGTACTAGGAGTTTACCTTTCTCTCTTTATCTAACTTTGATTTACCTTAGTATTTAACTTTTGTTTCATTATTTAGCGAGCTTTTAAGCTCTTGTAATGCTATCAAAATTAATTGAAAACTAAACTCAGAAAATTGATTTTTTTTTTTGCGGTATTAAACAGAAATTTCTCATTTCGTTACTGAAGAACTGTTTAGTACATAACGGTTGGGATTATTACGCCGTTAGTAAAAAATTACTGTGCTCGGGGTTTACGACAGAATTGCTAATTTAACTTGTTAACGTTAGAAAATTAAGAAAATCGAAAAACCCAAGATTTAAAGACAAGCACTTAAGGCTCTTAAGCTTTCTTAAAGCGGTTAAAAATGGAAATTTGAGACCTTTATTTTATCTGAATCGATTCCATTTGATATAATGCCACACTTTAGTGCTATTACTTGTTTAGAAATAAAACTATAATTTACAGTTGCTTTTGAACTTTGCTAAAGTCAAAATAATAAAAAGGCGACGGGCTTTTTCGGGAGCAGGTCGCCGTGAATCATGTGGACATCAAAAAATGTTTTCTGTGAAAATAATTCGCAACAGAATTTTCGAATTCGAAAAAACTACTGTTAGTTTGCGTGTTTGTAGAAAAAACTGCAGCAATTTGAAAAACGTCAGCAATATTCCTTGAATAAAATATACCATAAGATAGAAAATATTGTGCCTAAATTATCTGGAGTGTTAAAAATGCAGTTATGGTGAACACGAAAAAACCCGTTATGTGCTAACATACATATTTACATCAAACACTTAAGCATAAGTACGCAAAGCTAAGTATAATTTTTATAATTTAAGAGAACTTTTAAGGTTAGATAATTGCCCAACCATCTCTTTTGCTGCATTTAAGTGTCTAACTAAGATTTAATTGTTGTGTTATTTAAATATTTATAACACATTTCTGTGCGCTCAGATCACATCTACCTTTCCCAGGGCACCATTTGACTGAGCATACAAACTCACTACACGCTTCTATGATTTGTAAATAAACCATTTTGTTGTTGTTTTTTTTTACAAATTTCGCATATTGCATTATTGTGACGCCACTTTATTGTCCATTTGCGTCCACAACTTCTTTGTGTGCCCACGCAA